TTTACACACAGTCCCATAACCTAACAGATAAAACATTCATTTTTGTTTATTAACAACAAACAAGATTTTTTTTTTTTTTTGTCAGAAATTTTCCCTGCACCACGTTTTTTTTTTGTAAATTTATATTTTGAAATTAATTCTTTCAAGAGAAAAAAATGTTCTATTTTTTATTAATCTTAAAAAAATATTTCATTCCGTGACATAAAACAAATAAAATAAATGAATGTAATCAAAAAATTTTTTTTTGGTAATTTTGAAAATATAAATCAACTAGAGTAATGCAGGTGAATAATAAAATAGAAAAGAAAAAAATTGTCTTGAAACATTTATACAAGTTTTGTTGAAATATGTTCGTCTTCCTTTTTTTACGCCTCTGAGAAATACATTTCTGAATTACCCTTCTGAAAGGAATGCGAGATTATGGTAAAATTGCCGGCTGCTGCTGCTTCTACTGCGGTACAACCACCGTGGATTCATTCTCGAAAAATGAAGGGTATGAGAAAATAACATCGTCGAGTTTTACACATTTTCTATCAAGAAGATGATGCGCCTTTTTCCCTAAAAGCTCAACATCCAATTTTAATGGCAAACTATTTTCCCAAAAAGAAAGACGTGGAAAATAAACAATATATGTTCAATTTTTACATGTCAAGGGTAAGAAGATGGTGTAGTTTTTTATATTCATTCGAGACATTAATATGATTTTATAAATGTTAGACGAGAAAAAAGTCTATGGTTCTCTTACAAATCATAATTGTTAAATTTGAAAAATAATCGAATAGATTACTACAATCCTTGTCTGACAGTAAATTGACTTTTATCACTTAATATCGTTTATTAATATCGTTATTTATTAATTATTAATTATTATTATTAATTAATTAATTATTATAATTAATTATTAATTTATTAATTAATTATTATAATTAATTATTAATTTATTAATTAATTAACTAGAGAAATTACAAAAATTGCAAAGAAATTTCTGGCTAAAACTAATTTCTACTACTGGTAGCAAACTTTTAGAAAAATTTGTTAAGTCTGACTAAATGTGGCTATTACTACTTATAGTACAATGACTGGAATTAAAGAAATTGGCAAAAGCGAACGCATTTTCCTACTAATATTAAAAAATGTTCAGCATTTGAAAAGTCTACCATAAACTGTCTATTACTACTAGCAAAAAATTTTAGAGTCTTAAAAATATCGTCTGACTATAATTGAAGTTAACTACTAGCAGAAAAATAGCGAAATTTTCGAAATAGTATTTTTAGCAACAAAATAAATCAAAAGTAAAAATAAAACAAGGTAATAATAATAATAATAATAATAATAATAATAATAATAATAATAATAATAATAATAATAATAATAATAATAATAATAATAATAATAATAATAATAATAATAATAATAATAATAATAATAACTATTAATAGTAAAATTACTTGCTTTATATGTAATTTCTGACTAAAACTATTTTTTACTACTTGTAATTATAATCAATTTGTCTGACTCAAACTTGATAATACTACTAATAAAAGAATTGTAAAAATTGAAAAATGAAAATTCTGTTTAAGTACCTGTTTTGACCTTTACTACTAGCAGAGAAAAATTAATTTTAGGAAAATAGGAAAATTTGTAAATACTGTCTTAATAAAACTGATTTTTACTACTAATAGCAAATCTGACATAACACTGGTATTACTTCTAAACTCAACAATTAAAAAAAAATTAAATTATTGTCTGAATACAAAAGCCTTATTTTACTAGTCGTACAAACTTAAATAATTAAAAAAATAAATAAATAAAATTGTTGTCTGACTATTATTAACTTTTACTACTAACGGTAAAAAAGTAAAACTGTGGAAGGTTTGTTTTAGTACTATAACTAACTTTTATTACAAACGGTAAAAAAATTAAAAATTTGAAAAGTTTATTTCACTATACAAATAAATAATAATTACAAAAATGAAACTATGGTCTGACTAAAACTTGTTATTACTACACATAACAAAATAAATGTAGTTAAAAATGTTGTCTGACTAAAAATTACCTTAACTACTAGTCGAAAAAAAACTAAAACTTTGGAAAGAATTTTTAGTAATATGAAAATGAATAACAAAGAGCAAAAGAAAAAAAAATAGGAGTAAAAAGGAAATTAAAATTCGCTTAGTTCCTTTCAAGAGAAAAAAAAAGAAAGTGTAAAATGCAATATATAAAGAAAATATTTATACTTGGACTATGCGGTTCAATGGTCCGACATTCATGGGCCAATAATATCCTGCAACACAAACTTGTTCATTCATGCGACAATTGTAGCCTCTCTTTTGTCAACGGAAACTTGCACTAACCTTCTCTCTAGAAATTTTTTAAAGAAAAATTTTGCTTCTTCCGTTGCGTAGATTTTTCCTTGCATGTGTAATTTTATTTATATACATATAGCCATTTATACATGTATATATTGCGAGGTCGTCTCCTTTTCTAGATACCTTGAGTGCAATATGCTTTTCTTACCATTCTGGTATTGTAACTGCATGAATACATGTGTATACATGTGTCTGATACCGAGAGCAAGTGTAATATACATAAAAAATTTTTTTTTTACATTTCTTTTTTTTTTATCTGCCAATGTGTGCTTGCACTTGTAAATATTCGCATTTTTGTATGTGTGTGTGTGTGTGTGTATGAAATATCCTCAAGCAAAAATATTTCTAAGGGTGCGTGACGTGAAAGCTTTTGCTTTCACGCCAAATCAAGAATTCTCGAATAGTGAAGATTCACCGAAAAAATTGTTCACATTTTTGTCTTTTTTCTCTATTTTTCCATGGGAATTTATTTATTTATTAAGAGCAGATCGTAAAATATAAATTCTATGCAAATTTTGAAAGAACATGTTTTATCAATTTTAATCTTCCACTATAGTGATTTTGAAACATTTTATGGGTGCCAAAAAAGAAAGTTTATTCTTATTTAACTAAGAAAGTTTATTCTGACTAATATTTTTTTTATTACTTACAGTATCTTAACAAGTGCTATATCACCTTGAAAAAATACAGACAGTCTGTCTATAACATACTTATACTACTGTTGCTGAACTTCAAGAATTGACAAACTCGTCTGACCGAATATAAATTTTACTACTTATGACAATAATAAAAAGCCCTTTGTCCGACTGCAACAGGCTCTAACTACTTATACTAAAGGAGATAAAGATAAACTTTTCAAAAGGGTCGTGTCTGAGTAAAATTGTCTTATACTACTGCAGGTTCTGTCAAAAAATAGTGTTCTACGTACATAAAAATATAAAGTTCTAAAAAAAAGCATTTTTATGTCTTTTGTTGCATTTATTGTTGATTACTATTCATTACCAATCATATTACAGGGTTAAAAATATGGAAAATGTATAAAAACTGTCATAAAAAATAAAAAAAATTTCAAATACCTATAAAAAGTGATAAGAAATACAAATTAATAATTAAAAATTAAATGAAAAATAAAACTAATAAAGAAAAAAAATAAGAATAATTTAATAATAATAAGAATTAGAAGAATTCGAATCAGAATAATAATAGTAATTGCATAACAACAATAAAGAAAACAAGACGATTTTGCACTCATCAGGTAAATGGGTCGAAAATGCCATTAGGAAGATGTTTAACTTTTTTTATCGTATATTAAAAATCTTCATTTTCAAGTAATTCAAGTAAAAGGTTTAAAAGATTGATTGATTACCCTCTCCTATAAATATATATAGATATATCAACTTTATACACACAAACCACGTCCAACACATTTTTTTTCTTCTTCTCCCTCAAACAAAATCGATCTTCTATACAGTTTAAGTGATAAAAAGGTATGGTAAATTTTAAACCATTTTACATTCTTTTTTTTTCTTTTCTTCCTTTCATTTGCAAGAAAATAGAAAACTTGAATAATTGAGATATATATGTAAAGCGTAATTCGTGTCTCTTTATTGAATATGTAATCGTCTCTTGGGAAAAGTTCTTTGATGACATATCCATCAGTAGACATCTTTGATCTCTTCTCATTTTACCTTCATGAAATTTGGTCTCTTAAAAGAAATAGAAGAGAAAAAAAGAGAAAAACTCGATTTACATTAGTTGACAATTCTGAAAGTTTTATTTATTCTCGTTTCTGGTTTTTTTTTCATTTCAGGCAAGAAATATTAAAAGAAATGTAAAATTTTATAAAAAATATGTTATTTATTTAAAAAAATATATTTTTTATAAAGTATATATTTTCTCGTTGTTTTAGTAAAATACTGTTTTTTATTTACTAACAAAATAATGTATTAGACAAAAATAAATTCAAATAATCTGTAATACTTTAATCCTGTTTTTTATTTTATAATTTTATAAGATAGTGTTTTTTATTTACTGACAAAATAATGTATTACAAGAAAATGAATTCAAATAATCTGTAATGCTTTAATCCATAGAAGGATTATTTTTTCAAAAGTGATTTGGTTCTGAGTTATACAAATTTTTTTCATTTAAATAATTAATCCGAAAAATTGTTTAATTTAATATTTTTTTATGTTAATTTAAGTTGCAACGCTTTTTAATTCCATTTAGTTTACTGTGAGTACATATTAAGTAAATAAAATAAATATACGCAATTACATTCTCCCATAAATGGCGCTTGTGTTTTTATTTAAAAAATAGCGGTGGTCCAACCTTGACTAAGGACCAACCCTGACTATTTATCCCTACTTATTTTTATAATTAAAAAGTTCCTATAAAAACTAAAAAGTTAGTTTCTGTGTATGCTTTTGTTTTTGTTTTAAATATTGTTTGACAAATGGAAAAAAAAAATTTTTAAATTGCTAATTTTATTTAAAAAATTAAGGAAAAATTCAGCCAGCTCTTTAAATTATTAATTATCAATAAGGAAATTTGTAATTTTTCTAATTTAATTAATGATACCTAATTGAATTGAACAATTGACATCTTTTCTCCTTTTTCTTCATGTTCCAGGAATGTTTAAAACGAATGGTCAGAAGATTCCTGGACCAATGTGCGATTACGAGTTTGTCAGCTCTCAGCTTACACCTCAGCATGGACGTTTCTATTCGCCTCGATACCCATCCTCCTACCAGAAGAACATCCGTTGCTCCTACTACTTCCGGGCAAGGTAGGTAACTATCCGAATTTACTCAGGGCACTTCCTTTCACGTCCCTTACATCAGTGTGAATCCCCAGACCTTCTAGAATTCCATTTATATATATATATAATATATGTTATATATATATACATACTATATTCTATATATATCTTCCACGCGAGACTCTCTAGTCTCATCATCCAGAAATTTTCTGGCTTCCGGCTCGGTACAACTTTCCTCATTCCTCATCGTATCTCCTTGTTATGAGACCGCAAAACTTTATATCATCGGCATTGCCTACGGTTTAGGACCGACTGTAAAGACGCGAATAACAGAAACTCTAAGCTCTTATACTTCCCTTGTGATATCAAGCCCCGTTACGAGCTTAGAGGTGTCATTTCCATTCGCGAATTCTTTCTCTCAGTACAATTTACAGATATTATTCTCACATATATAGCTTTATATAAAAATAAAAATTCTTCCATTTTTCCCACTGGCAATGAAAACAAAAAGAATAGATAAATAAGTAGAAAAAAAAAGAATAGAACAGTTCTTTACAAATCGTATTAATTATTGAATAGAATTTATTTATTTATTTATTCATTTATTTTCAACGTAAATTTACAAGAGATATTTTATTCTCTTCATTTTATTTATAATATTTATTTATTTTATTTTATTCCAATTATTTCAATCCTTGGAGAGGAGAAAAGTCAAATGCCTTTTCAAACTGGAATACTAAATTGTAGTAATAAGAAAAAACGGAAACGTTAAATACCAATAAATTACTTTAAAATTTCAAATTTTCCAGAAAATATTTATAATTTAATTTTCAGTACACTATCCTACGCTGTGTTATGGTATTAAAAATAAAAGTCATTTAATCAAAACAATGATAAATCTTGGTTCAAAATTATAACAAAATATTTTTTTTTATTTACGTATCTACAATTAAAGTAAAAATAATTTTTAAGTGCAATAAATTAAGAATTTAATTTATCATAAATCAATTATTGACTTTGTGCAAATTTAGAATTAAGTTATAAAATGCCATTAATGTCAGACGAAAAAGATTTTTTAAAGCTCGAAAATTTATTTTCAGTAGTGAAACTCCATTTTAGTCAGACATGGATTTTGGAAATATTTGAAATTTAATTATTTAAGTACTAAAAGGGAAATTTTAGTCAGAAAATATTTTTTTATCAGTCCACAATATTTTTTATATTTATTGTTAGTTTTAGTAGTAAACAAATTTTTAATCAAACAAAAATATTTTTATACTACTTCTCTTTTATTCAGACGCCTACTATATTCCAGGTTTAAGTTTAATCATCTAAAATCAGTTTCGGTTGAAAATAACAGTATTATTTTTAGTAGTAAATATCCGTTTTCGTCAGACGATAATATTTCATGTCAATTTTTTATTTCAGTAGTAAAACGCGTTTCAGTCAGACGAAAAAGGTTTAAAAATTGATTTTCATTAGTGAAACTTTATTTTAGTCAAACATGGATTTTGGAAATATTTAAAATTTAATTATTTAAGTAGTGAAAGGGAAATTTTAGTCAGAAAATATTTTTTTTATCAGTCTATCTAAATTTAGTTTCGATGGTAAAAAGTAGTTATTTTAGTAGTAAAAGTCTTACTTAGTCAGACGACGATATTACATTGATTTAAGTATATAGTTTCAGTAGGAAAAACCGTTACAGTCGTAAAAAAAATATTTTTGTTATTCACTGTTAGTTTCAGTAGTAAAATAAATTTTTAATCAGACGAAAATATTTTTATATTACTTCTCTTTTATTCAGACGTCAATAATTATTATTCAGTTTTAGTTTCAGTAGTAAGTGGTCGTTTTAGTCAGACGATAATATTTTTTAAATTCGGATTTAGTTTCAGTAGTAAATTATAATTTTAGTCAGCAGTAATCTTTCCTTTTATTCAGATGCCAATATTTTTATTAAATTTTAGTTTCAGTAGTAAATGACTGTTTTAGTCAGACGATAATATTTTTAACTTTTTTTTTAGGTTAGTTTAGTAGAAGAACGTTTTAGTCATACGACAATATTTTTATTCAATTTTTGTTACAATAAAAATTTCAGTAGTAAAAACCGTTGTAGTCTGAGTAGTCACACTAGTAAGAAATAATTTTTTAGTCATTTCCCAATATTTATATTCAAAATTTATTTTCACTAGTACTAACTGCCTTAGGAAGACGACAATATTTTTTATTAGTTTTTTTCAGTAGTAGAACTCGTTTTAGTCAGACGAAAAAGGTTTACTATAAAAATTTATTTTGACATTATTTTTTATCCATTTTTATTTTAAGTAGTAAAACCTGTTTTAGTCAGACAAGAGTAGTTTATGTTCCAGGTTTAAGTGTGATCATCTAAAATCAGTTTCGGTAGAAAATAATAGTATTATTTTCAGTAGTAAAAATCCGTTTTCGTCAGACGATAATATTTTTTGTCGATTTCTTATTTCAGTGGAAAAATGGGTTTTAGTCAGACAAAAAAGATTTAAAAATCTATTCTCAGTAGTAAAACTCTGCTTTATTCAGACGATAATATTCTTTATTTATTTTTTTTTTGTAGTAAAAAGTGATTTTAGTCAGGCGACAGTATTTTGCTTGTTAGGTTTCAGTAGTAAAAACCGTTTTAGTCAGACGAGAGTAGTTTGTGTCTCAGGTTTACATTTGTTTATCGAAGATTATTCCCGGTAGAAAAAAGTAGTATTATTTTTAATAATAAATGTCGTTTTCGTCAGACAGTTTTTTTAATTTTAGTAGTAAAAACCGTTTTAGTCAGACGAAAAAGCTTCATTATAGTTTAAAAATTTATTTTTAGTAGTAAAACACAGTTTAATCAGACGATAGTTTTTTTTTAATTTAACTCCTTTAGTAGTAAAAGGGCATTTCAGTCAGACGACATTATTTTTCCTGTTTGGTTTCAGTAGTAAAAATAGTTTTAGTCAGACGAGAGTATTTTGAGACCAATGTTTACGTTTGTTTATCTAAAATTAGTTACAATAGAAAAAAGCACTACTATTTCTAGTAGTAAAAGTCCGTTTTCGTCAGACGACAATATTTTCTCTCTTACTTTAGTTTCAGTAGTAAAAAACATTTTAGTCAGACAATTTTTTTTTAATTGAAGATATTAATTTTCAATATATTATTAAAAGTTAAAAAAACCGATTTTAATTTTCAGATCGAAAGAGAGAATTCGAATTGTCTTCGAAGAAATATCGCTACAAAAGGGTGATTTAAGGTAAGAATTTTTTATCTTACTTTATATTTGAACATTTTTTTTTTCATTTCTTAAAATATTCATTAAGGGGAAATATTTATTATTGCTGGCGTAAATAGTAGAGAGAAGAGTAATACATATATACATACATATGAAATTCTTTGGGAATTTAGCAGATCGATATTAAAAATTTAGAAAGTATTCCAAGTCACGTATAGGTCGCACCATTAAACTGAGGATATTCACGAAACTCATCAATTTAAAAGTCCTATCAAGTTTTACAACTCTTAGTGGTAGTGTGGCATTAGAAAATCATGTTGCAAACTTTCTGTAGAATATATACATTTTGTAAAAAAGGAGAGTAAAAAAAATATAAGTGTGTATATTAGCCTCTCGTTCTTCTCTTATCCAACAGGGATTAAAAATATCAAGTGCTTAAGAAGTTTCGAGTTCATACTAAACCTTACAAAATAGTTTTTGATCCTTCGCAAAACTCCAGAAGTTAAAATGGAAAATATTAATAACAACTGGAGAAATAAGATCATTATTTATTGAAAACGAGGTCTGTATTGGGTTCCTTACTTTAATTTTCATATTTTTCAATATTTTTTTATTTTTTATGCATTTTATTTCTTTATTTCTCACAACTGTTTAGTTTTTTTATTTCGTCACGTTTTTCAGTTTTTCTTTATTTATTTCTACTTTTAAGTTTATTATTTTTCATAATTTTTATTTTTTTTCTATATTTTTTACTACTTTTGACAGTTTTTTATGTCTATACGTTTTTTATTTTTTTCTTTACTTCAGGTTTTTATTTTCTGCTTTAAATTTTCATTTGTATATATTTATTTTTCCTTATTTTTGTCTGACAAAAATATTCTTTTATCACTTAATTTAAAATTCAGAAAGTTACAAGTTAAATGAATGATGAAAAAAATATACAAAAATTAACGACTTTGAAACTAACTCATTTTTTTTGTTACAACATTACTTTTTCAATGTTGTCCAAAAGAAACGTGGAAATTCCAGAACAAGAAACATTATATTTGGTACTAATTAGTAATTACTGATTTTAATTTTTAAACTTTGAAATTCGAAATTTTCCACGCCAAATGCAAAATAAAAAAAGTAGTCTTAAAAATTCTGATTTATTTAAAAAAAAATTTCCGATACATAAAAGTGGAAAAAAAAGCTAACGTAATTTTAGAATCTTTTTTCTCTCTGTAAAAATATTTGACTTCTGGTATGTCCTAAAGGAATAAATAACTTATGCATCTTGCTTCCAATTTTCTATCTCAAAGTTGCAGATATCCTAAGCCCCAGAGAGTGATTTCGTGTGGGTTTAACATGTCAAATCGAGATTCGAAACTCAGAAACTAATCCCTAGATGTGTTACTGTAAAAGGGGGAGAGAGAGAGAGAGAGGGTGGGGGTCAGTGATAAGTCTTGTCCCTCACAGACTTCTAATCTGTGTGAAATACCTCCAAGTTCTAATTTGTAATGTCGGATGAGTCATGTGTGACTTCTAATATCATGAGCGCAAATTACAAGTTTACAGTTTACTCAAAATCCAATTTTCCTTCTAGTTCTGTTTATATTACTAATTTATTTATAAAGAATATTACCATTACGCCTAATATTCGAATAATAATTGTTTTTAATATAATTTTGTTGTTATTTAAAAAAATGTGTCAAATAAAGGAAATATGGTCAGGGTTGGACCACCTTTTAAACTTTGATTAAAAAAAACAAATGTAGTCAAGGTTAGACTAAAGATAAAAATAAAATTTCTTTAAATTTAAAAATTTTTTGCCTAATAATATAATTTTATTATTTAATATTTCCATATAATTTTATATTATATTGATATTATATCATTAAAAAATTTTAATATTTAAGAGGAAGCGAAAGACATCCTGAAAATGAATAGAAGGAAAAAAAATCAACAAGTTTGTAATCAATTTTTCAATATTTAAAAAGCAAGTTGAAATTGTATTTCTTCTCGCCAATGTTACACATTTGAAAATCAGTGGAAACTTTGTAAGAAATAAAATTAGCATAATCCGGAAATCTGATCACATGATACTATACTTGAGTTGAATTCACGACAAAGAAGAAAAGAAAAGAGGTCGACGCACTGAATTATGCATATCGTTTTCTTTGACCTCATAATCTTGCAACGACGCCAAATTTCACTTTGGAAGATTTAACCATATCCAATGTCCAATAAAGAAATAACAATTCTCCTCCAATTTTTACAATTTTCCTCTATTTTTAAATAGATGGCAAAATTACAATTTTTTTTTGGTACCTACGTTTTCTATTAATATATTTAAAATTATTATGTTTAATTATTATTAATTCATATTATTTTTATTATAAATTTATATTCAAATTTTATATTAAAATGTTCTTTCTAACTTTGAATTAGAAAACTTTACTAATAAATATAGTAACTTCTACTAATTTATTAGTAAATTTTAATAATTCAAAGGAAAAAGAGTTATTAGTAAACAATTTTACTAATTAAAATATAGAGAGTTAATATTTTAATATGAAAAATAAAATTAATATTATATATTAATATTTCTATATTCGGAAAAAAATAAAATGGAAAAAAAGAGTTTTTACCTCGGGAAAAAGAAACAAACTATTTTCTATTGCGATACCGAAGATTATGTACCATTAACACAGGAAAAAATACTAGAGTGTTTTTTCCCCCTTCAAACACTAAGTAACAAGTTTTTTTTTGTATTTTTTTTGTTGTTGTTTTTTTTCAAATAAGTCAAGTATGACTTTATGTTTTGATAAGAGTCGAAAGCTCTCAAAGGGAAAACACGAAACAACGTCGAACGATCGTTTGTTCTTATCTTAACAGGAATGGATAGCCACACTAGAGTAGAAGATTGATCGAACAAAGAATGGTCCATGAAAATTGCACGAGATTCCCGACGAGAACTCTCTCTCTTTACCTCCCCTATCACAAACCCCATTCTATCTTCTATTTCTCTCCGTTTCTGTCAATGTTTTTGCCTTAGAACACAAGTTTTTCTTCTTCTCGAAAGGTGTACTGAGAGAAAATAGGATTTAAAAATGTTCAATAGCATCTTTCTTAAAAATGTCCATTACTTTTCTTCTACGATAGGAAAGTGATGAAAATTAGTTTTGAAAAATATTTCATATTTACTGGAAAATAATTTGAATTATATTAATCATTTTATTATTTATTTATTTGGACATAAACAGGTTTCAAATAAATTCTCTCGTGCAACATATAATTCTCTCGTACATTAAAAATAATGGCACGAAAAGACCTAAAAAAATTATTAATTTTTTTTATTAATATTTGTGGTAATTAGCATATTAAAGTTTATAAAATTATTTTGCTAATTTTTATGAAATTATTATATTTACATTTATAAAATGATAATTAATATTCATGGAAATATTATATTAATACATACGTAAATATTATATTAATATTTATGAAAATATTATTATTTACTAAAAAATATATAAAATTATTGAACTATAATGTTATTAATACCAATATAATTTAATATATTATAATAAAAAATTGTTTTAATTTTATTTTACTGTCATTTCTACATTTTCTTTCGTTTGGACTTTGAAATTGATTTTCAATTTGATTCCCGACTTTTATTTTGACTTCAGTTTCGATTTTAACTTTGATTTCCAATTTAAGTTTAAATTTAAATTTGACTTTTCTTTCCTCTTTGAATTTTTATTTTTATTTTTATTTTCATCTCTATACTTTTTTGCTTCGAATAGTAAAATCAAAAAATAAACAGATATATTACTTTACGTTTGTACCGCAAATAAATAGAAATACAATTTTTTGACTCATTTCTCCTAGTAGAAAAAACATTTTATGTCAGACGTTTCTAATTTTTGAATAAATTTATTCATAGTAGTAAAATAATTATTTTACAAGACAAAACTTCTCCAATTTTATATCAAAAATTAAACTTCTTTATAATTTAAAAATTTTACTAGACTTTTTATAGAAATTAAATAAATTAAATAACTTTGGCTTTAAAACACAATTTTTTTTCTTGTTGGCAGTAAAAAAAATAAAGTTTTAGTCAGAGCTTTCTAATTTTCCAAAAATTTTCAACCTCAGTAATAAAAGATTCATTTATTTACATCTAATAATATTGCAAATAACTAAAATTAAAATTTCTGAAAATGATAATTAAAAAACTACAAGTTAGGAAAAATAAAATAATTTTTATTACAGTATTTAGTACGTCTGTAAAATTTCGTTATTCATAGAAAAAAACTTGTAAAAAAAAAAAAAATTCCTGATTGCTAATATGTCAATCACGCAAGAGTTTGTGGAATTGGCATATAAATTTTCAAAGTGGAAAGACTTCATGATGCAAAATATTCTCTCTCTCTCTTTCTCCTTGCAGTGGGGTTTATCTTGGTTCTTGACTTTTCAAGTAACACATTGAGCTCACTCTCTCCGATTTGTGCTATGCCCCAAGGGATTTCACGAAATTGTAGCTATTCAGTAATTCTTACTATAGAGAGATAAATTCTCACAGTTTATCCAGTGAGTGCCATTCACACTGAAATATTTAATTTCACTCAAAATTAATTTAATTTCACTTGCTTTAAAATTGATAATTTCTGATACAATTACAAACAAAAAGTGAACTTTGTCTTTTAAGAAATATATCTCTCAAAAAAGCAAAATTTTCAATTTATTTATAAATTTATACAACCATTTTCCAAGTGGCACTGCGGAAATAATAAATTAAACCAATTTTTATGATCATAAAAATATGAAATCTATTTTTATATTTTTTATCAAAGTAAAATCCAATTTTACCTGATTGAAGTATCAATAATGCATTTTTAAAAATATAAAGTTCACTCAATAATATTGTGACTGACAGCTGAATATATAAATAAAATAAAGAAATCTATATAATGTTTATATAAAGGAGTTTTTACCTTGGTTAAAAATAAATTTTTATCGGAAGTAAATATTTC